TGATTGCCAGGAACAAAATAATAGTGACATTTCTGAGAGAAAAAAAAAACAGTTGGAAGCTAAGGGAACTTCTACCTAACGTAGTTAGAGTGAAGATCTGTCAAGACAGTCTTTCTGCTCTCTGAAAAGACACCTGCCAAGCCACTTCATCATCAGAGTTGGCTGAGACATTTCACAGTCTCTGTTTTTCATAACCCTAAATATGCCACAACTAGATGATAAGTAGGGAAATTTTATTTGGGTAAGTGTAGCTGCCTGGTGCAATCTTGAAAAAAATTCTCAGGCCCATTCTCAGTCTTTGTATCTCAGCATCTTCTGTGGACATGGAGTCAGTAGATATGCCCTTACACGTGAATCCTGACTGTAATATAGCTCTTTCTAAATGACTCAATTTGGGACAAATCAGAAACCCACATCTAGAGCCACAAAAGTTACAATGGATTTAGGCATCTTATTTTTTTACTCAACATATAAGGAAAGAGAGGCAAATGAAGGTTACATTGTTCACTGAGGTGAGTAATAGATGTTCTTCAAGTTCATGCTCAGTTTGACTTACAGAAAATAAAAGTAACAGAAAACATTAAGCTGACTGTCACTGGGTTTGGGGAAGTCCAGTAAAATCTGACTAGCTCAAATGGAATTCGTCTGACACAGTGAGGGTAATAACATTTTTTAGATTTTGTTTTTAGAAAGATCAAGATGTAAGCATTAGTCACAGCAAGAATCTTAGAATCATACCATATAGGATTGGGGAGGGATATAATATAGTTTGACTACAAATATTAACAGAGAAAACAGAAAAGAATTTACCTAAAAGCTACTTCAGAAAGCTTTTTGGAGACCTTTCTAAAGTTTTCTTTGTACAAGATAAACTTGGAAGTGGAAAGCCAGTTCATGCCTGATATACTAAGTACAGTGGTACCTCAGTTCACAAACTTTCCACAATTCTGGTCGCAAACTGAATTGGATAAGAACCAAATCAAATTCTCGTCCAATTCGGTTTGCAACCAGAGTCATGGAAAGAATTAAGTTTGTGAACCAAGGTACCACTATAGCTGGAAATTGAGGCTGATTTGAAAATTAGAATGTGGGAAGAGACCATATAGATTTTGTCTCTAGGGACACATCATCTGGAAAAGAGGTAACATGTAAAGACAGACGACCTGGTAAAGTAGTCTTTCAAAAGTTTGACTTTAAATTTAAATTTAAAGTTCCTTTTCCTCCATGGAACATATATCCTCAGACTGAAGATGAATAGTATGGGTGGGGAACACTGAAAATAGTTTCTTTCAATTCTCCAAAAGTATTCTATTGTAGATCCACACCTAAGGAGCAATTCTTTGTCTTGTTTAAAGACCTACTGTCTAATATTCAAACAGTAGTTTCCAAGGAGTGTGAAGGAGAAAACATGAACTATTAGCAGGTATCCTAGAGCCTGTAGTAGCATCCTAGAGCCTTCTGGTGCTGCACAGTGAAGACTTTCCAAAGGTTTCTGAAGATCGGTGAGAGCAAATTACTTCAGTCGGCTCTGTCTCTACCCACCCTTGCAGCCTTCTGCTAACCCCAATCAAAAGTACTACTCCACTGGTGTGAAGCAGTAATCAGGGTCCTTAGTGAAAGAAGCTCAATCTAGTAACACAAAAACTATCATCTCGTCATTCAAGGGAAAAGGTACTCAGAAAAATCCCATGCTATTCAGAACCCTTATGCTATTCAAATCCTTGATTTGTGTCACATGGCATGCCTAGAAAGGTATAGTAATGCTTCCCTTAAAACTCTTCATGTACAAGATAAACATGCTGATTATTACTCCGACAGCAGGATAATGTTCACGCTGAGACAATTTGCACTCTCCCAAAATATACCGGGGAAAGACATCCCTTAATGTTATAGATAGAGAGGCAAGTGTCAGCTTTTTAAACTCAGACTTTATTTGCTTGTTCTGACACATGGTTGTTGCAAATCTTTCCCCATCTGGACCATTTCTAGCCTCAGCTTCTGCAGCTTCACAGTAATGTCACCGAAAATAGTGCACTCATTTACTGACTGAAATCTCTCTTATTCCTGCTTTTATTTGTTGTGTGGTTTGGGTCAAGGTATTTATTATCTGTGGCCAAGTTTCATCAGCTATAAAGTGTCCGAAAAAACTACAGTTAGGGCAAAGCTGAAAAAGAGCAATCACCAAATCATTACAGTTTCCCACTACTTTGATGACTCTTAGAAGTACCTCACTTTGATTTGGGTCCTTATAGTAAGTTCAGCATAAGATGGCATGGCCAGAGAACTGCAGCTATACTCTCGTAATTATGAAGATAAACATTTACTTCTATTAAGGAATCTCCCACTCTATGTTAGAAAAATCTTATGTAATATAAATGAAAGGTCGGGGTAAGATTTTGCTTCAAGTAAGTTTTGAATACAATTGCCATCGAACTTTTGCAGTCTGTGAAATTCTTTTTTAAGTGAATAAATGTGTAGAGCAATTCTCCATTACCCTGTTCAGAACTGAACACCAACTTGACACTTAGAATTAAATTAGAGAAACAAAACTGGATACTTTGAGACTTGAAGGCTGATTATACGAGAGCTAAAAGTGGATTTAAACTCTTCCCTTATCCCACTTAAATCTAACTAGGTATAAACTCTCCATTACTGAGGAATAGAGGTGTGTGCGCAGAGGTAGAGGTTCCCCTTGATGTTCGCGGACAGGGAAACCTAATCCTTTTTTCTGACACACATGGTTGCAATAGAAACCGTTCCTCAACTGCCAGTCTGGTTTTAATCTGTTGTTTCTAGCAAGAGAGTATTTGCAGGGAATGTTAAGAAGAGAGCAAAATTATCAGAACTTAACTGTAAGAGTGTTGATGAGAAATGAATTTTAAACAAGTGTTCAAAACTGTAAGCATGAACATATGTAGACATACAATGAATGCTACAAGAAGAGAACTATAGAAGTTTTTAATCTTAAGTGTATCTAAAGCCTGCTTTTAGTATTTATCTCATTTTACTAAAGTTCTTCAGCTTACTCAAATGATAGCAGTGGTAAAATACTGTCCTTAAACACAGTTATTAAAACAATACTGTCATAGAATGTGAAAAATTCACAGGTGAATTTTCAGTATAACCAAATTTACCATTCTATAATATGAACTTTTAAAATGTTAACCATTTTTCATGGAAACATTTCAGAATTTCTGTTTAAAGATACAATGACTAATATACAATCTTTCTCTGAAGTTTTATGGTTATTTTTATTAAAATAAGCTATGTATCTGTAAGCTCCTCCTACAAGAGTTAGAAAATGGTGGCCTTTTGGTCATTCTTTACCCAATACCAGAATGTTATTGTAAAAGAGTACAAAAGCAGAAAGAACTGGTTCACTTTTTTCCCACTACTGGTGACTGAACCCAAGGCCTCATGCATAATAGGTAAGTACTCCATCACTGAGCTTCACCCCCAGCATACTTTATTTTTATTTTGGGACAAGGTCTCACTATGTTGCTCAAGTTGGCCTGGATCTTTCTGCCTCAGCCTCTAGAGTAGCTGAAGTTGTAAGTGTGGCTGGTTTACTTTTACTAGGTCCTGTGTCTTTTTTTATTGTCAATCGTTTCTTCTGGCTGTTAAAAGTAGTACACCAATACATTGTGCCATTTGTTAAAATCAAATTTATATTTAAAAGAGGCAGCTACTCCATGTAAGGCATCATCTAGATGCCAGGGAAAATGTAAAACTTACAAAATTCCTACAGAATTATAAAAACTATATACCCCTTCTCCAAAAACAACCTAGCTGAATGATGCTCAGGAATCACATGGCCCTCACCATGGTGTGAAACATCATTTATTTTTAATGGCTTATAATTTAATTTAAAAATCAAGATGATGTAATCAGATTTGTTTTCTGATAAATTTTCTTTAGTGGGTATATATTATGGAAATACCCCCCCGGCGAAAATACTACCAGTTACAGTACAGGAGTCTGGGCAGATAAAACTAAGAACTACTTGAGGACATAGACTATGACCCTAACAGCTTCTGGTGCACCAGTCTCCTTGTCAGGTTTCACCTTGAAATCCAGATAAATAGAAATATCAGATGTCTAATCTTGCTAACTCCCAGGCTCATATAATCTAATTAAAATATACCTATAAAAACTGTTGTAATGCTTCACTTTATATTCGAGTACTAAACAAGGCACTGATTGATAAAAACTGCAATTTACAATGGATATCATATATCCCTTCCCTTTCAAGGTCTTTTCTTGGGCTTCAATTAAATATTCTCTGGGTTCTCAGACATCTCTTGGCTAATTTATTTTCATCATCTTACCAGATTTCTTTTGGCTTCAATAACCATATTTTTTAGTTCAAACTTCCCTCCCAAGCTGCAGACTCATGTATCTTTCTGAAAGGTATCATATTTGGAAGTACCACAGGAACTTCAGATTTAACAAACAGAACAATCCGTTTTGTGGATGAATGAAATTTGATTTCCTTAGATTTTCTCTCCTTCACCTTTGTAATTACTCCTGTTTACTTCTAATTGCACCAATTATGCTTAACTTCATTAGTACATTGCATATTTACAAGATAATTTTATCAAGTTCTGTCATAATGTGGTAGACTTCACCCTGTTGATAGCATAGGCATCTCTTACACAATTTATTTTCTTCCTCCCCTTGGTGATTTCCAGTATTTACCCATAGGATAAATGTTACACACAAAGGAATTCTGACAAATCCCTCCCAGTATTATATTATATATAATTATTTACATACATATTTTTACTGATTCTTTATCTGGGAGATCTTTGAGCGCATTAATAGAAGCAGGAGAGCTCTATTAAAGTTCCTCATAATTTTAACTAATTTCTCCCACTTTGCATCATCATATTCTTCCTGAATCCTCCCTGGACCAGGATGAAGCACTTCAGTTCTAACTACCTCTCCTTTCCAAAGTAGTTACTTGCTTTTGTGACACCTCGTCAGTGTGGATCATTTATTTACCTGCTACCTTCTAGGCTGCGCATTTCTTGAAGGCAAGATTCACACGTTCTTTATACCTTCATTCAGTGTCTCATTCATAGCTCTGTACTAGACAGTTTGCAGGAAGAACGGATAGGCCACCTGGGTCTCAAAAACCCACTTACTAAGTGGCTGAGAAAACTGGGAGACTTCATTCCTAGAGAAAATTCTAAAAAGCTGCCTCTAGATGGCTAGCACCAGATAGGCAACCTGACTTTATGCCCACTCTTAGGCGCCACTATTTATATCCCCAACGGAGATTCTCCTTCAAAGAAGCCTGCATAGAAACGAGGAAAACAGGGAAAACACTAAAGCCCAGACCCACGTCGTCACGTGCGTACCAGAACCGGACAGTTTTCGGCCCAGCGGGAGGATATGCGCTTGCGCGGCGCGGAAAAGGAGCAGCGAGACCGGGACCGGCTCCCTCAGAGACGTCATCCAGCACATGACAGCTCCGCCCTTCTCAAAATGGCGCTGCGCGCAATGAGGAAAGCGCGAGGGTGCCAGAGTGTCATCCGGGCACTTCACGAAGGACCAGAAATTGCTCCTATTCCCCAGGTAACCGAAGACGACCCTTTTTCCGCCGACTTATTTCCTGAGCTTCTTCTCAGCCTACCTTTCCTCCTTCCATTAATCTTTTCCTGCTTCCTAGGGAGAGTACCGACATGTCTCTCTTAAGGTCCATTGCCCGCCCACTAGGAGCGTGGAGACGTTGCAAAGATTCGTGATGATGTAAGGCACCCCTTGTGGAAGGAGGGTGCAGCCGCCGGACCACGTGGTCGCGAGCGGGGCTGTTGCTGGGTAACGTGAGAGGCCAACCTTGGTGTATAATTATGAGACCAGGGACCCTGTAGTTCTGGGACTGCCCTCCTCATGGTTCCATTACTGCTCTTATCCTTTTTTGCCTAACAGCAAACCAGGGGTCCTTGGAGAAATTAGAGAAGACATCTTAGAATTGGGAGGTTAGGTTAATGCAGCCTGGCGCTCTCTGGGAGTGTGGCACACCTTCCAGGCAGGTTCCTCCTATTCACCCGTAGGCATACTCTAGCTAGCAGGGTCTGTGAAAGAATGACAGCAAGCTACCAAGTGCGTCATCCTGTTACTATTTTTCTCGTCTTGCTGAGAGCATGACACAGCCTTCATCCCAGCCATATTTGTTATTTTACCCACATAACAAGAACAAAAAAAGTGGAGGGATACTTTTTCGCTTGTTCAGACTTAACTATTAAACTTACAAGTGCGAACTCAGTAGTAAGCATCTTGACCTACACTATCTACGATATATGTTAACATATGTAAACATATTTATTCTGAGACCTACAGGGAAATTTGAGACTGATTATTAGGCAATTTCCTGACAAACACATACTCATTTTCATTAATGTGTAGATGTGACGTGAGGATGCTATATTGCAACTGGTGTACTGGAAAGAGCACTAGACTGGAAGTTAGAAAACGGAGGTCCAGGGCTTTGACTGCCACTTACTAGTTGTGTTATATGACAAGTCACAATCTCTCTGGGCATCAGTTCCTTACAAATCGAATGTAGGTAGAGTTAGACTAATTGACATGTTAAGGTATTTTCAAGCTTTGGAAAATCCTTGGCTCCCAGAATATGAAGGCAAAATAAAGCCAGTGAGAATAATGAAAACTAAGATTTAAATTCAACTTATTTTTCTAATAATCCCATAAATTACTTTATTTTCTGAACTTCTGTTTTCTTCATTAATGTGAGCCTTTTAAGGATGAAGAAAGCATACTGGAAAGCTCGTGGTGAGCAAACATCTATTCATATGTTACTTTAGGAGGCAATGTTAGGTTAGAATTGATTCCAGTTTAGATCATCAGCTAGCTAATCTTCTTAAAGTTTGTGGCCTTGATTCTTTGGAACCAGAATTAATTATTTATAACAAGTTATAGCATGTTAAAGTGTGCACTACCAGTACCAAGCTGACTAAGTCATATACTACCTTTATTGCAAAATTAAGAATAAAAGAGGGCCGGGGATTTAGCTCAGTGGTTTCTCAACCTGCTGCGCAAGCGCAAGGACCCGAGTTCAATCCCCGGTACCAAAAAAAAGAAAAAGAAAAAGAAAAAACAAACTAGAGCCCACTAACGAGTACCCAGGGAAGTTGAAGACACTAAATCGTTAACAATAATAAAGAAACAAATCTGAAACCTCTTCTGTTGTTTCAGTGACATTTATGAATAGGATTATTCTTAAAATTAATCAACTGTTATCTAGATTGCCTCAATATGTACAGAAGAGATTAGTATTTCCAATCCTGTAATTTAGCTTTGAATAAATTAGAATTAAATGTGACAGTATTTTTTGTGAAATGTAAATCTACATATTCTTTCAGTCATAAAGAGTGATGTTTTGAGAGACTAATGCAGTCCTTTGAAATACTAATTGAGAAAAGATAAATTGTATTTGTAGTATGGATACAATATTATATTTATATATAAATCTTAATATTAATATATACACAGAAAAAAAAGACTTGAAGGAAATAATCATTCTTAACTTTTTGGTTGTGCTTTGGTCTCCCTAAAGAGTGGATTAAAAGTAATTTAAATTTTCTTTAAGCATTGTGTTTCACATGTTCTAAATTGAAGGTGTATCACTTTTACAACCAAAAAAATATTTGAAAACATAAATCTTCATACAAACCTGTAGTCTTCATGTATTTTAGGTTTCTGAGAAAGATATTTGTCCTACAGTGCTGTTATTAAAATGGCCTTAGAAAAGGACTACTAAAAATTTATGGGCACTTTTCCTGTGTGTATCTTCTTTTTCTCTTGAAAAGCTTCCTTTGAAGTCAAAGAGGTTTTGTGAACAGATGCAGAAATATGTGAAGGAAGAATTGGATTCTTAAACCAGATGCATTAGACACTTTTATGATATCTCATAGCCTTTGTAGAAAAACAAAGAAATATTTTGCTAAAGTATAATAAAAGTAAATGTATTTATCACATGGATGATATTATCAAAAATCAAGAAATAGCTAAGTTCTTTGTTATTGGTTTTAGCTCTGCACTTATCCCCTGAAGTAGGAAGCAAACCTGGATAAGCCATAGCAGTGGTTTATAATCAACTGTGATTAATAAGAGTGTTGAGGTTTCTAAGTTGCTTTAGTGTTTGGGGAATGTTTTTTAAACAGTATCTTGGGTGAAAAACTTAGAGTTGATAATCTTTAATTATTTCATGTAAGCTTTTGCTCTTCAGGGCTAGATGTAAACTCAAGTCCAAAATAGGGAGAAAAGGGCTGGGGATATAGCTCACTCATCTAGCATGTGAGAAGCTAACTTCACACTTGATGTAAAGTTATAAGAGACCAAGAACCTGAGTAAATATAAATATATATATATACACACAGATACATGTATATATATATATATATATATAAAACCCACATATATCGCATATCACACAATACCCATTGTAAGGTGTCAACAATTTATATGAAAAAGGCTTATTTTTCCAGGTGTTGCTTGACAGAAAACTGTTGAAATCGAACAAGATGAGAGTAATCGCAGTCAGGACTAAAAATCTGACATGTTATGTTTAAATGCTGATGGTTATTAGGTAAATTTGAGCCTGTCAGCATTGGCCAAACATAGAATCCATACTTCTTTAAGCATTAATTCATGATTGTATTGTGCAGAGAGTGAAATATTGATGGTTAGTAGATTTCTGCAAGATTATTTATAGTTCAGGTGAAGTATAAAATGTCCATAGTTTAATGCTATTCAACAACATGGTTCATTATTAGCTATCCTCAGGCTAGGTTTGGTCAATAGTAACATGCTGTTTCTGCTGTTAACAGTCACTAAGCATAGCCACTAGCTGAAGGAAAAATGTTTACCAAAACAAAGACCCTGTATTAGATTTCTGATGTTGTATTTAGTTCTCATTACAAAACTTTTTATAATTTTTTAAAAATAATTTCAGATTTACAAATTTGCAGCATCTGTGCAAGGAATTCTTGTATACCCATCACCAAACTGTATCTTTAATAATCATAATACAATTATCAAAACCAAAAAAATTAATATTAGTACAGTCCTATTAATGTAGTTATAGGCCTAATTCAAATTTCACCAGTTTTTCCACTAATCATTTTTCTGGTTTAGGATCTAGTCCAGGATTCCACATCACATTTGTTTGTCATGGATTTCCAATCTATGACAATTTTTCAGTTTTTCATGACGTTGGTACTTGTGAAGAATACTGGTCAGTTATTTTATGGAAGGTCTCTAAATTGTGTTTTCCAGTGAGTTCTCATGATTAGACCGAGGTTATGGATTTTGGTAAGAATACAGAGAAGAGATGTTCATAAAATGCCTTTAAAGCAGTTATTAGTACCTTATTTCAAGCATTGAGAAATAAGCTTTAGTTAAGTAACTTGCCCAATATCACACAATTAAGGGTGGAGTAAGGATAGTAAAATTTACTGTAGCCATTTCATTTCATATTTTGCAATTTGTGTTTATAGATGTAGGTTTTTGTGATCCTAATGACATTAAATTGGAGTAGTGTTCTGAGTGACTCCAGTATTCTCCATGCAACATCATGGAAAGCTTTCACAACTCCTATAACCAACCGGGAGTTATGGTAATTGGTAACTGCCTGGTTAATCAGGCTACTTTGTGTCTCTGCTTTTCTTAAAATTGTACAGGAGGGTCTTAAGTGAATCCACTCTATAGCTCCTTTTAATCTCAGTCAGCAAGTAAATTTGTTGAAAATACTCTTCAGATTGATTGCTCATGTGAACTGACTTAGCTTATATAAATACTAGCTAGTATTTCAATTGTTTTAAAATTATCTCTGAGCAGCTGATGAAAACTACTGAAAATAAGAAGAGGAACACTAGATAAATGCTGAGGATTTATGCTGGCAACCTTAAGGTAGCCACAGCCAGAAATTGCCAGAGGGTAATACTGCTGACCCCCAAATTCTTTCTCAATATAGTTGCATAACTGCAAGTTACAGAAAAACTGTCTACAGGAGATTATATAGGTAGATATAGATATATCTAAACACACAGTAAAACCTTGGAGGGCAGATAAGTTGTTCTGCAAGTGTTCTACAAGACAAGCAAGCATTTCTAATACATTTTAACTTGATAAATGAACAATGTCTTGCAATAGCAGTAGTATGTGATGCTGGATGTCACATGATCACAACTGAGCCAATGGCTCTCTGTCTTCCTTCTTCTCTCTCTCTCTCTCTCTCTGTCTCTGGGATTGTGGGTTATCATCTCCCAACAGCAAGAGGTTATGGAAGAGATCTCCTCTGCAGAGAAGGAGAAAAAGGTGAAGGAATCCCTCACTTCAGGTGAGATTTGGGAGATTTGTAAAATGTGAGAAACAGTGCAACGTTTGTAGCAAAACACCACCTGAATAAGGTTGTAGCAGTGCAAATGATGAATCTGTTTAATGACAATGCAGTGTCACATTTCCGTGAAATCCTCAAAAGGAGGCACAAGCAAGTGTCACTGGATAGGTTCCTTGTTAAAGTTTTACATAAAGAAAAAGATTCCATTGAGCCAACA